CTCTATTCCTGTCCAGTGATCTATATGTCCACCCTTATGCCTGTACCACACTGTCGTGATTACTATAGCTCTGTAGTAAGTTTTGAAATTGAGAACTATGAGTCTTCCAAGTTAGTTTTGCTTTTTCAAAATTATTTGAAATCTTGTTTCAAGACTGTTTATTTGTATATAGAAATTCATTCCACGGAAAACGTGGGGTATATTTTATTTATTTCCATTGTCTTTAATTTATATTTTTTCTTTTTTCTTTTTTTTTTTTCGAGACACAGTCTCACTCTGTTGCCCAGGGTGGAGTACAGAGGTGCAATCTCAGCTCACTGCAACCTCCGCCTCCTGGGTTCAAGCAATTTTCTCACTTTAGCCTCCTGAGTGAGATTTAGCTGGGATTACAGGTACCTGGCACCACATCTGGCTGATTTTGTATTTTTTTTAAGTAGAGACGGGGTTTCACCATGTTGGCCAGGCTGGTCTTGAACTCCTAATTTCAAGTGATCCCCCCACCTTGGCCTCCTAAAGTGCTGGGATTATAGGCATGAGCCACTGTACCCGGCCTGTCTTTAATTTATTTCAACAATGTTATATATTTTTCAGAGTATAAGTTCTGCATTTTTTTGGTTAAATTTTCCTAAGTATTTTATCCTTTTGATGCTACTACAAATGGAATTAATTTCTTAATTTTATTTTCAGAATTTTTCATTGTAAATATATGGAAATGCAATTGATTTTTGTTTATTGATCTTGTATCCTGCAACCTCAGTGAACTTGTTTATCAGTTCTAATAGAGTTTCCGTGGATTCTTCAGGATTTTCTACATATAAGATCATCTCATCTGTGAATTGAGACAGTTTTACCTTTTCCTTTCCAATATGATAACTTTCGTTTCTTTTTCTTGCCTAATTTCTTCAGCTAGAACCTTTAGTACAGTGCTGAATTGAAGGAATAAAGGAATCTAAATCTTCACATCATGTCAGTAACTGTCATGTTTATTCCCATTTACAGATAGGCAGACTGAGGCTTACAGTGGGTAGGTAAGTTGTCCAAGGGTGTGTGACAGCTGAAGAGCTGTGGGGCCAGGCCAGAATTGCTGTGTGCAGTCTGCTTGCGGCAATGCCTTCCCCCCAGCTGCCAACTCCATATATGGTAGGCATTTGGGGGAGGTCCCAGCCAACCTGGTTGATGACATTTAGAGTCTAGTGAGAAGCTCTGGAAGTCTCACTGGTAGCACTAAGCTCCTCTCTGTGTACCGGCTGCTTCCCATATGTACATGCGTAGGTAAGAGCAAGATAGAAATGACAGCACTTGTACATTCCGCTGAGGGCTTTCTCATCAGTATCTTGTTTCCTCTTCTTAACAACCCTGTCAGGTAAGAAGGATGAGTTTTATTGTCCTCCGGTTACCAATGAGGAACTGGCACTTAGGTCGAGTGACTTTCCTGGCCTTTGGGAAGTGTTGGCATGGTGGGGACAGTGAGAGGGGTCATGTGTGTTAGACATCTTCCCTGTGTTAGACACTGTGCTGGACAATCGCTATATGGCGTATGGCTTAATCCTCACTGGCCGTTATTATCCTCTTCTACAGTTCAGAAATTGATGCTTAGAGAGCTCTCATAAAGTGCTCCATGCACTCAGCTCAGAAATGACAGGGTCTGTCCCCAAACCAAGGCATTTGACCCCCAGATTCTCCCTGCTTTCCTTGGACCGCAAGGCCTGAGGTGATCGAAGACATTTATTAAAGGGAAACAATGATGGAAAAAGAGCAGTTCCCACGAGGCCGGCCTTGGCAGGTGCTGTCGCTCCCTGACATGGGTCTCCTCGTGTGTCATCCCCCACTTTAGGGTTTAACCGTATCTCGAGAGGCAGGATAATCTTCCAGGGAAAAGCATAGCAGGGGACCATCTGCCGAGGCAAGGGACCTGTTCAAGCAGACTCCCGTCTTTTCTGAGATAAGTCTGACTAATCCAGTCCTTGTGACTAATCCACTCTGAGACTTTATCTTTAGAACCGATGATTAATTGAAATAGGCTAAATTGTTCCACTTCAGCCCCCATACCTGAGCATTCCTGGGGGAAGTGGGGTTAGGGCAGGGGGTGGTGCCTGGGAGTTGTAAGGGTCCTTGAACTGTAGGGATGTCAGAGTTTCTAGCAGGTAGTGCTGGGGGCAGATCCCACATGGAAACTGAAGCCCTTTTTGCTGACATCAGGGGGAATCCTGCTTTGAATGCCCTCGAGGGCAGATATATGCAGGGGGTCCTTGTTCTGCAGACTCTGTGGATCATGCTGTGGCTGAGAATCCCTGAAAGATGATGTTAGCCTCTTTGTGACTTTCCTATTCCACCCCAAGAGCCAGTGTTCTCCAAGATCACAGAATTCCCTGAAGGCAGGGACTGGGCATTGACCAAGCTGCGACGTGCTCCAGAAAGGCTGCTGGTGAAGAAATTCCAGTCCCACTTCAGACCTCACCACCTGAAGACCTGGATTAGAGAGGATAGAACCCGGATACCAGAGTCAGACCCCTGCAGCTCACTCTCTGAATGACCTTGGGCACATTTTTTAGTACTTCTGAGCCCCAGTCTTCTCACTGTAGAGCTAACATAGTCTGACAAGTTCATTTTTCAAAAGACGACATTAACTTTGGAATTATCCCCAAAACCACCCAAGTAAGTGCAGAAGATAGGGCAGTGACCAGACCCTCTGCCCTCGGCATGCCAGGCCCTTCCATGCCATCCTCTCATTCAGTCCTCACTGCCAGCCTCTGGGGTGCTGGCTTCATCTTGGTGGGATGGGAAAAGGCACCAGATGTGTGGGTCATGCTTCCAAGCCACACAGCAAAACGTGGCAGAGTCAGACCGGGATCCACATGTGCCTAATTCCAGGCCCCATGCAGGCCCCACAACACCCAAAGATGGCTGGATCCTTGGGCCTTCCTCTCTGCTGGCCCTTGGTTCCGCCTCTGGCCATTGCCTTTTGGAGGCTGAGCAGAGGTCTCCTCTGTCCAGATGCAGGGGATGGTGCTGGCTGGGTGGAGGCAGTAAGGAAGGGGACGGCCTCCTCATGTTCCCAGCCACCCTTCTCAACACACCCTTGCTTTGCACACAGGCCTAATTGTCAAGAGGAGTCTGGGGCTCATGGAGACTGTCAGCTCCTGCAACATCACAGCAGCCTCTTATCTTGATGGGTGTGTGCTTTTGTTATATTTTTAAATTACAGACGGTGAGAGTTTTCCCTTGGCACCTAGAGCTGAGAGCTTCAGGACTTTGAATGGTGGAATAGGAACCCAAGTGCCTCTGTGCCAGGCTTCCTCCCAAAACTCGTATCAGAATAGACTACCAGAAGCAGCAGCCCCATAGCTCGGTGGATTAAAACCACAGAAGGCGTTTTCTCCCTCCTGCCTCCTGCTCACTGCAGGTGGGTGGCACTCAGGGACCTGGCTGATGGAGTATTGTTGGTCACTGTGCCAGAGGGAACATGGAGTCCTGGAGGCCTTGGACTGGTTAGTAGGTGTTCCAGCCAGAAGTGATGTGTTCCTTTGCAGCTCACTGGGTAGAACTGGTCCCCTGCCCACCCCCGCCAACCACCCTTAATCATGGTGCTACCGAAGGAGCACTCCTGCCGTGTGCCATAAAGCAGGTCACAGCACTAAGGGCGGACGACTGCTGCTGGGGAGAAGTCGGACCAGGATGCTCTATGATTGAGATGCCCAGGGAGGGGCTTCCTGTCATTGTCTGGCCATCAGCGGGTGTGTCCAGCGTGTGTTCCAAAGCCTGAACTGGGCTCCTGCAGGGCATCTGTGCTGTTTGTGCTGATGGAGACCTGAGACAGGGGCCTGGCCTCTGCCTGGAGTGGGAGGAGGAGGTGGCACAGTTGACCTCCTTTTGCCTTCCCTTGTGGTTTTGGGCTGGGAGTTGCAGACAAGCTTTCTGTAGCTGATTTGGGGTCAGGAATCCCTGTAGGACCCAAGACAGGTCCTAGAGGAGGGAAATGTGTTTGTTCCCACTTTTTTGTGGGGTCCAGCGGTGGAAAGGATCAAAACTCACAGTGGAAACAGGAGTCTGATGTCTGCCTGCTGGGGAGGCCACAGATGGGGGATCTGGATCGGATGGGATTCATTCCTTCCTTCATTCGATGGTCATTGAATCTTAGCTTTACATCTATGTAAAGTGACTTCCGTTAAGTCACTTAACTTCTCCGAGCCTTAGCTGTCTCATCTCTAAAATCTGGGAACTATTTCCTATCTTCCAGGGATGTTGTGGGGATTGAGTGGGATAATGGATGGAAAGTCTCTGGGAGAAGCCTGGCACATATTGGATACAACAGATTCCTGTTTAAGGAACAAATGTCTCAATTTTCTCGTCTGTAAAATGAGGGTTATAAGAAGCATCTTTATCCCTCACTATTGGGAAGAATGAAAGAGACCATTTCCATAAAGCTCCAGCCCTCACAGACACTCAGGAGACACCCATCTCCTCCAGGGTTCCAGGGCTGGGAGGCTCTAGGGGGGACCATTCTCCCACCTCCTCTGCCATCAGGCTATAGCTCCCCAGAGTGGGTCCGGCGTCTGGAGCCTTCCTGGGCCCTGCGAGATGCCTAAGAGCCTGTCCCCTTTCCTGCTGAGGCTGGAGCAGAGAGAGGATAGCCCCAGCTTGGGAAGTGCCCCTGTTGTCCACCTGTGGAGCTCCAGGGTGAGGGCACCTGCAAACTGTCAAGTGCAGTAAGACTGTGAGACATGCTATACAAACTGAGGTGCTGGGTGCGGGCAAGGTGTTGCTTTCAGTCCCTGGGTCTGGACTGGCTTCCTGCTGCTCCCTTCAACCACAGCCCCAAACCCCGTCTCCACCTGTCCAGCCTCTGTCCAGCGAGCCCACTCTGCCAGCCTGCCGTCTGCACCCCACTGTGCCTTCTTTCTGTGGTGACAGTTGTGTAGAGAAGGAAAACAAAACTGGGTGGTTCAGATGTTTCTGGCACCAAACGGGATCACATAGTAAAGAGTTTCTTTGGGAAGAGATGTTATTTAAATTTTTATTCCATTTTAGCACAATCAATTTCAGTTGTAAAAACAATTATTTGGCCATCATGGTGAAACTCTGTCTCTACTAAAACTACAAACATTAGCTGGGTGTGGTGGCGGGTACCTGTAATCCCAGCTACTCTGGAGGCTGAGGCAGGTGAATCACTTGAATTCAGGAGGCGGAGGTTGCAGTGAGCTGAGATAGCACCATGGCACTCCAGCCTGGGTGACAGAGCAAGACTGCGTCTCAAAAAATAAAAAATAAGAATAAAAATAAAAACAATTATTTATTGCAGGGAACTTGGAACATGAGAATTAAGAGGAAAATGGGGACTGCCCCCCCTCCCCGGTCTCATCTCCCAGCGGTCAGCACGGTTGGCACTGGGGTCTGTTTGCTTCCGTAGCCTGGGAACGTGCCCGTTTTGTTGCTCCGTGACGTGGGGTATTTCTGTAACTTACTTTTCCACTTGAAACCACATTGTGAGCATTTCCTTCCGTTATTAAATAGTCTTTGCAAACACAATTTGTAATGTTTGCCTGATCGCCCATCCTGGTCTGTCCCGTCATTTTCTCTCCACGTCAGTGTTGCAGCTTGTGGGGACTCAGTATAGATTGCATCCGTGGAGCTGAACTCTGTCTGAGACCTAGAACAGACTCTGGTAACTGTCAAGAGCTGTCTCTCTTCGCCATGCAGGTCCCTGGCCCTGTGAGCCATGTGGAGACCTGGAAGGACTCGGAGGGGCCAGTGTCCGACCCGGCGAGTGTGGCCGAGACCTCCCTTGGTCTTTGTTCCTTCACTCCGCGTGTGTACCTTGGTGGCTGCGCAGGGGTCCTGTCACCATCACACCCGAGACTGTGGCTTCAGGCCTGGAGAAACGGATCCCACCTAGCAAGTCCCTCCTTGCTCAGGGCAGCCTTTCTCAGGAGGGCTGGCTTAGGAATGGAGCCCAGGCCCCGCGGGGAGCCAGCCTGCTTCCGAATTTCCCATCTCCCTGACCTTGGAATCCACTTTTCTTACCTCTTTATCACCTCCTTATGCCCAGAGTCGGCTTTGATTGAGGGACTCTCTAATATAAGATGGAAAAACCCAAGGGTATGAAAGTCACTGCACTTTATAGCCCTTTAAGGGCCTTTTAAAAACAATGTTCATTCAGTTTTTTTCTTTTTTTTTTATGAGCTTTCTGGTACATACAGCACATAATCCTACATAAAATGGCTGAGCACGATGCTGGCATAAACACCCGGCAATGGGGTGGAAGTCCGTGAAGTGATGGGTTGGCCTCCGTGGGAGGAGCCGCAGTCCCTCAGCACTGAGCACGTGCTGGATTCCACGGCTGGGGTTGCGGGGGCTTCTGAGTGCTGCTGATCCGAGTTCCACACTCAAGGGCTTGGGTCCTTGGGGAGGGAGGCTTAGGCCCCTGCCTGGGGAAGGATGCCTGTGTGCCTTGAACCCTGATCTCCACCAACAGCCACACATGCCGTTTGGGACTTGTCCTTCTCATCATTTCATGAGAAGCTCGTGTTGCTGTCACCTGCCAGCCGGGGAAAGCTGGCCCCATGTCATGGCTTTCTAAATGATGCCCCTGGCTGGTGGCCTGATGATTGAGCAGGCCATGGTTTAAGGTTCTCGATAGCATGTCCAAGGGACAGGTGCCCCGTGCAAAGGCTGGAGCAGGCTTGATGGCAGGTCCCTGGCTGTTGTGGGGGTCCAGGGGAGTAACGCTCCTACTGCTTGAGCTGATGCTGGCTTGTGTGCAGGGGAAGCTGCAGCTTATTTATCCTTAAGAAACAGCGCTATCCCATTTGTCCCACAAGTTTCAGGATTTCATTATTCAAAGTGGATCTTCTAGGCTGCCTCCAAATTGCACACAATGCTTTTCTCAGATCTCGAGGTCTGAGTTTTCCTTTGCAGAATAGGAAGAGTCATTCTGTGCCAGCCTCGCACCTGGTACATAGTAAGTAGCCCGAGAGGTGGGGAGTCTGCCAGTGAGATGATAAAAGACGCCAAGAGGTTAAGACATTTGCTCAAGGCCACACAGGAGACAGGCCATGAGCTTGGAGGAGGCTGACCCTAAAGACTAGGCCCTCAAGGGCCATGAGTGCCTTTGAAAGCCCTGCTCCACCACCTGGGCAGCTGGGAGTGGGAGCCACGCAGGCAGGTGCTTGTTTCTGAGCACAGCTGAACTGGCTGCGCCCTCGGATTCTGCCCTCCCTCTGCTCACCTGGGACGGGCTAGGGAGCAGCCTCCTCCGTGGTGCCAGCCCCCCCACTTCTCAGGACCACCCTGACCTTTCTCAGCATGTGCCTGTTTTCCAGGTCACTGTTTCGATTTCTCTTCACTTCCTAGTCTTTACTCTCCTCTGTTAGAAGAGCTTCGTGTTTATTGATTGTTGTCTCCGGACCTTCAATTTTTCTCTGCAGCTCCGGCAAGCCGGAAATGAGTCTTCCAGCTTCGTTAGCCGCCCTATTCTGTAGAGCAGCCGACCTTTCCCTAATCAGCTCCAGTTAATCATGGCCGGTGGCTTTGGATGAGCCAGGGTGGGTGGTTGGACGAGCAGGGACAGGGGTTGCCAGGAGGCCTACAGGACCTCCCCTGGGGGTAGACAACAGTGATGGTGACGATGATAATGTCTGCACTGGGCGTGCACCCTGCTATACTCTCACCATCTCCTCTTACCCCTCCACCCCTCCTCTGCCCTGGGGCCAGAGGCACCTGACCCTTAGGAAGCTAGGGGCTAGAGTAGTTCATAGTGAGAACCAGGGTCAAGCTGATGGGCCTCTGCTTGTCTATAGCCAAAGGCTAGGTCCAGGAAATAGCACTTGCGGTTTGGAGTTAGGGGCTTTGAGTCAGTTACATCTGGGTGGAATCCCAGCCCTGTGGCCCTGGACAGGCTATTCACCTTCGCCATAAACTGGGGATAACAAGAATGCCTCAAAGCTTAGGATGCTGCCAGGTAACTGGCATTACTACTATTGTTGTGACTGTTGGATCAGGTTTCTCCTGGAGACCCTACCTGGAGTGATGTCACTGTACCCTGTCCCTGGCTCTGTGCCTAGTAAGATGCTCATGGGGCCTAGTGAACATGTGTTGAACTGAGCCACACTGAGCTCTGATGGGTGCATTTTGTTGCCTATGGAGAAATAAGCCATTTGGATGGGGTAGGGGTCAGCTGCCAGGACTGTGCCACCTGACCTCCATCCTGCACCATGCCCAGCAGAGTCAAGGCACTCAGAGGGATTTTCTCCCTCGGGTCTTCCTGTGTAAATCAGTAATCCTCAGGCAGCAGAAGGAGGGAAGCCATGCACTGAGGAGGCGAGGGTCAGGGCTGTTCCTGTAGCTTCAGGCAACTCCTTTGCAGTGTTTTTCTGTATCTTTTGCTCAAGCAGGTACTGCAGCAGGGCCTCAGATACGTACTGAGCGTCACCTCAGTTTCATGCACACTGCTTGGGGCTCCCCAATCCTCAGTCCTGAACCATCTGGGGGGGTCTACTGCATTCTGGCCCTGGCAGCTCTCCATGGAAACAGATAAGAAAAGTAGAGCCAGAGGCTGCTTGCGATGGCGGGGTACCTCATCTTCTATCAGCACCCCAGTCTCTAGTAGGAAGTTGGGAGGCAGAAAATGTGTCCCTCTCCCGCCAGGTGAATACTCAGGTGCATGCTATGTGCTTGAAGCTCATGACCAACCTCCGGGGCTGATGGGGCCGGGTGGGCTTTCTGGGGAGCTCTGTGGGTCCCAGTGTCATGTCTCCCTTGCCCCTGCGTGACGCACAGTTCGTGAGTACTCTCTCTGGCTGGTCCTCTTCACTCTCTTGTTTACCATTTGCTGTTAACAACAGTAATTACAGTATAGTTGTGAGATGAAAACATGACTAAATTATGACACTGCTTGTGTAACAATCTCTTAAAACCGACTCAGAAGGCAACAGCTGCACAATTAGGCTATAAATTCCCTTAAATGAACTTGTCGGTGGCAGCGGTACCTGTGTGGCAGTGTTGTGTAAGAGATAACCAGGCTTAATGGGCTTGGAGAGGGAGCACCAAGGATGGCCTCGTAAAGAGGGAAACTTTGTTCTTTGTCATAAACCACTTGTTCTCTTATAAAAACAAAGGGCTCGGTGTTGGCCCATTAACTCCCTCTGTCTGTCGGAACTGTGGGAGCAGAGCATCTGTCTGGCAAGCTGACACCAGGGATGCTCTCTGCCTTGAGGTGTGGCTTGGTCTGAGGCTCCTCCACCCCCACCCCCAGAAGGCATGGCCAGCAAGAGGCTTGAGTGGGACTGATTAGTGAGTAGCAGGGGCCAGCATGGCCTCCTTGGTGGGGGCCCAAGTGCACTGCTGCATCCCTCCCAGCTGGGCTGCAAGGCCTGCCCTTCTTATGCTAAACGACAGACTTCAAGACAAAACCCACAGTCAGAGCACCTTGGACATGGGGCTGGGACCTATGAAACCACATGATTCAGCAGAGGGATCATGGAGGCTTGCTTCAGATGTGCTCTTTGGGAGAGAAGTGTGTATGCCACAGGTCTAAGGGGAAGGATGCAACTGGTGAGTTGTTACGGGATGCTCTTACCCACCCCACCCTGAATGTGGCCAGCACTGGGACTGGTGATGCTGACACTGGGGGCCCCCTGTCTGCCTCCAGGTCAGCTCTTAGCAGCATATTCACTTTCTGTGGCTGCTTTTACAAACTACCGTGGACTTGGGGGCTTAAAATGACACGGATATACTATTTTGCAGCTCCAAAGGCAGAAGTTGGGTCTTGATTTTGGCTCGGGTCTCAGTGTGCTAAAATCAAGGTGTTGGCAGGGCTGTGTTCCATTCTGGGCTCTGGGGGAGAATCCTTTCCTTGGCTTTTCCAGGTTTCAGAGGTTGCCTGCATCCCTTGATTGGTGGCCCCTTCCTCCATCATCAAAGCCAGCACTGGCAAGTCCCATCTCTTGCACGTCATAGTTCTCTGCCCCTCTCTTCTGCCTCTTCTTTTTCTTCCATTTGTAAGGACTCATGTGATTCCACTGGGTACACTCAGGTGATCATTCCCATCTGATTAGCTGCTACAGTCTTAATTCCCTCTCGCCATGTAATGTAGCATATTCATGGCTTTTGAGGTTTATGACATGGGGGCCATTATTCTGCCTGCCACAGGCAGGTGGAGACAGGGCTTTGAGCCAGCTTGACTTTTGGACCCTTCGAGCTGGGGCACAGGCAAGGATTTGAGGAAGCAAAGCTGAGCTGGTCCTACAAGAAATCACAGAGAGAACAGCACAGCCTGTCTGTGTAGGACATGGCTACACCTCAGATGTCACTTGCATTTCCTAGGGACTCCCTGTGGTCTTTCGTGAACAAAACGCAGGAGGGGACATACCCCATGGCTTCACAGACTGTGTGGGAGTCTTCCTGAATGAAAGTTACAAGTGTGCAACCAACCTTTCCTTCCTGGAGAACCTAGTGCTAGCGTCAACCTTTCCCCTAGGTCCCCTCCCTGGAGAAGGTGCAAATCGGGAAGCCTGCTGGCACGAGATAAAGTTCAGCCTTAACAATTTTCAAAATAAACGAACAACGCACAAACTCCAGACATTGCACAAACCTACCAGCAGGGAGTCATGGCCGTGGGTTTTGATAACTTTCACCATTCTGGGACTGCAGAGCATCTCATCTGCAGCTCTGGACCCCCTGGCCACCTCCGCTCTTTCATCCCCTGGCTGGGAGGCAGCTGGACTCTCCTCTCGGACAGCTTCTCTGATGAATTTGCAGCCATCTCCCTGGACCTGTCCACACAACAGATTTCTGGAGCTCGTCCCCAGGGACCTCCAGCTCCAGGCCTATTACTGAAGTCCGTCACCCAGAAAATCTGTTGACGGAACCGTTCTCCCTGAACTGCAAGCAAATTGGGAAATTTGAATGTGATGCAATAAGCCTGCAATAAAACAGAGCCTCCGAGAAGTGCACGAAGCGAATCTCCTCCCCGCCAAGTCCACCGCCCCTCTGCAGCTCCCCGAGCTGTCATCCTCCAGGGTGGCCACATACAGTATTTATTTTTTTTAATTAAGCTGCATTGCTGTGTGGCTCACCCTCTGCAGATGCTTTATAAAGCCCAGCCTTGTAAGTTGCTGAAAGTTTTTGTTTTTTTTTAAGCAGATAGTAAAATTAAGCAGTTATTAGTATTCACGAAAAATGCTCGTGGCAGGCTTCGCACACGTAATGAGAAGCCACCTGCAGTTCAAAGCAGTACTTGATAATGCTGTAATTAGATTTGAGATGCAAAAAAGCTCATTAAAATTAAATAACATATTTGTCACTGTTTTAAGAGGTACAGATTGCCTAGAACCATGCTGGTCTCTTGACCTTGAGTATTTTGGTGGAGTCCTTGCTGCCAACAATTCAAAAATAACATCAGCAATTCTGCAGAGAGTCCCGAAAACATGTTCATCCTCGGTTCAGTTTGTATTGAAAAAAATTACATAGATATCCAGGGGAAATCATAGATTTGTTCACAGTGTGTTCTGGGAGAAAAGGGTGACCAGAGTTGTCTCTGAACAACTCTGAACCAGCAGCTCAGACACCACAAAGAGATGAGTTTGTGCCTGTGGGAGGCTGGGGCAGGTAGAGGGGTTCCCCATAGGATGCAGGGACACTGTGAGGGAGTCTGCAGGAAGCAGCAGCCTTGGGCTACACTACTTACCGCTAAGCTGAGCTGGATGAAGCCACTTGCAGGCCCAGAGCAACTGGGAATCAGATTGCCAGCCAGTGTTCCCTGGGTGCCTACTAGTGCACTGGGTCCTGGGAAGGGGATGGTGGGGCCGCAAGTGCCAGTGAGATTCACCTCAGGCTGCAAAGGAGATCGTAGCCTCATCACAGAGATGAGGCATGAAGTCAGGTGCCAGGAGAGTATTTGTTGTTAATAAAAGTAGCTAATGTTGACTGAGCATCTTTCATAGTAGGTACCTATCATGTGGCATGCATTATCCTCAGTAATCATCTCCACTGTCTGTGAGACAGCCCTCATGGCCCCATCCTGCTTGATTACATTGCTTGAGTGAAGTCACTTCACCAGGAAGTGACTAGTAAGCCCAGAGCCGAGCGGGGTTCAGATGCAGGTCTGGCCTTCCACAGTACCCCCTCTGCATGAATCACAGAGTCGCTCAGGTCCCAGGGTGGGAGGGGACACACATGAAGGCACTCGCTGAGGACCCACTCTTCACCAGATCCGCTCTGAACACTGCATGCCTGTTGGTCATTGCATCCCCATAGCAACTTGCAATTCCATTTTACAGATGAGGAAATAGAGGCATGAGAAATTAAATAAGCAGCCCAGGTCACCAGGTAGTTGGCAGCAGAGTTAGGATTAAGCTCTGACCTTCACTGCTATTCTATATTTATTTTTGCTTGAAATCTATAAAGCATTCTGTAAAGGTAGGATGTAACGTGAAAGCAATTATGATTATTTTTGTTCTTGGTGGAAGAAAATGCAAGTTGCTTTCAAGGGGCAGAGTCCAGGGAGTTTGCCTGGGGCAGAGAGCTCTTAAACGAGAGGTGAGTGGAGGGGGCCAGATGGTGGGAAAATGAGGTCAAGTCAGAAACACCCTCCAGGGACAGTGTGGGTCCCCATCTTGAGGAGCTGTGTGTCCTCCAGGGCAGGGAGTCATTGGGAAGGCAGCCTGGGCCGACTGCCCCTCCTGTGGGTGGCTGGATTGATTTTCCAGGCTGACTCTCTTGGCACTGGGTCCAGATTTAGTTCTGTGGAGAGCTCGTCTTTCAAAGTCCAGCTCAAATGTCACCTCCTCGGCAAAGACTCCCCCACCGTCCGAAGCAAAATTAATCACCCCTCCTCCGTGTCCCACAGCACTCTGTTGATACCTCCAGAATAGTCTTATCACATTGGACACGGATTTATGTGTTTACAAGTCTGTCTCTGCAGATCCACGGCCACTTCTCGAGGGCAGAGCCCACTCTGCCTTTGTGTCGTCGTGCCTGGGGCAGTGCTGCGTGTGCAGTGGGTGCTGAGTAACTGATGCATAAATGGAGGACCCATGGATGGTTTAATTTGATTCCAGCGAGCAAGTGCAGAGCTCTTCCTGTGTGCACTTTACATATGTTTCATTCTGTGCTCTTTACATATTGAAAAGGTTTAGCCTTTATAACCCATGACATCAGTTAGTTCCTTTTTTGTTTTGTTTTGTTGTTGAGACGGAGTTTCTCTCTGGCATCAGGATGGAGTGCAGTGACATGATCTCAGTTCACTGTCACCTCCACCTCCTGGGTTCAAGCAGTTCTCCTGCCTCAGCCTACCGAGTAGCTGGAATTACAGGCATGCGCCACCACGCCCAGCTAATTCTGTATTTTTAGTAGAGACGGGGTTTACATGTTGGCCAGGATGGTCTCAATTTCTTGACCTTGGCCTCCCAAAGTGCTGGGATTACAGGCGTGAGCTATCTCACCCTGCCAACATCAGTTAGTTCTATCATGAGCCCATTTTACAGATGAGGACACTGAGGCTCAGACAGGTTATGTAACTTCTCAGTATCATACATCTGGTAGGTGGTGGAGCTGAGAGTTTTAAACCAGGCAGCCTGGATTGAAAATATCTGCTTAAAGTAATTTTGTAGCTACAGATTTTATATAGTGATTCTTACTATGGGAGTTTCTGGAATTAATTCTTATTTCACTTTTCCCTAACTTGTCTGAATTTGGGAAGGTTTGGACAAAGTGACTGGGTTATGATACAGTTAAGTTTCCTTTGTTGTAAGCCATGGAAAGCAACTCTGGCTAAATGAAGCAAAACAGGGATTCTATTGTGAGGATCTGAGTAGCTTGCGGGAGAATGCTGGAAGGAGCGGCTTTAGGGAGGCCAGAGGGAGCGACCTAGCGGGAACTGAGGGACAGGCTTGCTGGGATGAGCTCTGCAGGTCATATCCCTCCCAGGTCAGGCGCCACCATCGTGACTGTGTAGGGAATTGGGGTGCTGGTAAGACCATGGGTGCTGGGGCGGCAAGAAGGTGCGCTGCCGCCTGAGCACCGTGCGTTCCTGCTGGCCATTGCTTGGGTCCTGTGTTCGCCCTGAGTCCAGTGGCTCTCAGTCATGCTTCCTTGACACATAGTTCTGGAGTTTGGGGCGGGTGGGGAGGGCGATGCTTCTGAAAGGAATATTCACTAGAAGTGACCTTTCTTAGGTTTTTAACATTTTGAGGGGATTGATTGAATTGATCCAAGCCCATTCATTCTCTGCCTCCAAAGGACATGAATACCACGGGACCAACCCAGCTTGGACGTTTGAAAACTGGGTGCAAACGAGGGCTAGATTGATTCTTTCTCACTGGGCTTGCCCCCAGCCTGTAAACTAGAAGGGATGTCTGGCTGGGTGTCCCTGGGAGGACGGCCAGAGTGCACCTTGCTCAGAGGTTGTTTGTTACAGGGAAGCTCCTTTTCCTGGGAAAGGAGGGAGGGGAGGGCGCTGTGGATCTCTCTCTCCCCAGCGGCTGGTCCAGCGTCTTCTAGGGTGGCAGTCCTTTGCCCTGTCGGGTCAAAGCCAAGTCCCTTCAGCCTCGGGCCCTCCGGGCTGTCTCCTTAACGTGCCTCCCTCGCGGTGTCCATGGCGCGTAGGAACCTGGGGCCTGCAGCTTTGGGCCTCACGCCTCTGCCTCTCTGAGGCCCCTGATTTATTCAGGACACACGTGTACTCAGAGTGCTAGATACACTGTGGACATCGACAAGGCATGGAGGTCTCAGACAGAGACAAACAGGTGGCGCTGGTTTCCGCCCCCTACCCCGGCCTGCGTAGCGGGGACACCCGCCTCACTTTACTCGGCCCAAGTCAGCGGTCCTCGCTGGGAGGTCGGTCCCTGGGGTGAGGGGCCGCGGCAGCTGGAGGAGGGCGCCTGGCCCTCCCTGGCCCGCTCCTCCTCCCTTCCTGAATGGTCCCACCCTTCCACTCCCCCTCTGGGCCCGCCCTCCAGTTTGGCCCCTCCCCCAGGGCCCACCCTTCCTTTAGCTCCACTCTTTCTTTCTGTTTTGGTTCCTCTCTCCCAGCCGGCCCCTCCCCTCTGAACCTACCCGCTTTCCTTAATGGGCCTGCCCTTGTCTGGCCCCTCCCACCCATCGTGCCCTGTCCACATCCTGTCCTCCCTCCGGGCCCCGCCCCATCTTTGGCCCCGCTCCACCTTTTCGGCCTCTTTTCACTCACCGGCCCCTCTGGACCCACCCTTCTTTCCTCTAACGATCTGCCCCTGTCTGGTCCCACCCACCCATGTGGCCCCACTCACTACCTGCCTTTTATCCTGCCCCTGCCCCCTGGCAGGCCCCACCCTCCATCCCTTTTGGCCCCTCCTTGTCCACCGAGTTCCTCTGGACCCACCCCTCTTTCTTGATGGACCCGCCCCCATCTGGCTCCTCCCATCCATCTAGCCCCGGCCACTCCCTCACTCTCCATCCTCGCCCTGCCCTGCGACTGGCTCCGCCCTCCATATTCTTTGGCTCCTCCTTGCCTGCCGAGCTCCTCTGGGGACCCACCCTTCTTTCCATTGGGTCCCGTCCTCATTTGGCCCCTTTCTTTCGTCTGGCCCCGCCCACTCCCACCTTCCACCCTGGCCCCGCCCCGTGGCAGGCCCTTTTGTGGCACTTCCTGTCTTGCTCTCTCCTCTGGTCCACCCCTTTGCCCATTGGGACTCCGCCCTCATTTGACCGTCTCACCCATCTGGTCCCGCCCACCTCACCTTTCATTTTGACCCAGCTTCAAGTCTGGCTACACCTTCCACCTCTTCCTCACTCGCCCCGCTCCTCTGGACCTACCTCTCTTTCCTTTATGGGCCTCGCCCCCATCTAGCTTCTCCCACACATCTGGCCACCCCCCCCCCCCGCCCGCCCGCCAAACTTTCCATCCCTGCCTTGCCCTGTGACTGGCCCCGCCCTCCATCCCTTTTGGCCCCTCCTAGAAGCCCCGCCCCTCTGACCCACCCTTCTTTCCAATCGAGCCCCGCCCTGTTCTCCGGGCCTTCAAGCTCCCTCCTGGCGCCCCGCAGCGGCGAGAGTGATTTATAGGCCGTCTGAGCCGTGACCTATAAACCCTGTTCTTCAGGGGGTGCCTCTCTTGGATTAAATGCCTCTAAAGGAGCCTCTGTCTCAGAAGTGTCATGTAGAATGTTTCCGCTGACGGAGAACATGACCTTTAAAAACCCGAGTAAAGGAAGCGGAGCTGCCAGGGGAAGCGTCGGGCAAGGCGGCGCCTCAACCCCGCTGCACCTGTCCGCTCTCCGACCCCTCCCCAGCCAGGTGGGGCGGGCTACGGACCCGGCTGGGGAGGGGCGCGCTGCCGGGGTCTGGGTGCTGGGCGGGGCCGGGGGAGAGGCGCTGTGCGGACCGGAGGTGGCGACTGGGCCTTGACGCCGCTCCCGAGAGGGGGTTACCAATTCCAGGGAAGGGCGGAGTGAGCAGAGACGCCTCTCACCACGGGCCAGAGCCCTGACCCTGACAATGCGAAAGGACCAGGGCCTTTGTTCCACTTCAATTTCCTTCCCTTTGTGCCCTGGGGGACACTGGGTCCGGCTAAAGGCTGGGGCGCCTGTCACAGAAGACCCAGTGTCCTGGGTGCTCTGGGTGGGGGACAGCGTCCTGGGTGCCCAGGTAAGGGTGCAGAGTCCTGGGTACCTTGTTAAGGGTGCAGAGTCCTGGATGCCTGGGTAGAGTGCAGTGTCCAGGGTGCCTGGGTAGGATACAGAGTCCTGGGTGTCTGGTTTGGGTGCAGTGTCCTGGGTGCTTTGGCTGGGGGTGCAGTATCTTGGTTGCCCAAGTAGGGGTGCAGTGTCTTGAGGGATCTGGGTAGGTTCAGTGTCCTGGGTGCCCAGGTAGAGTGCAGAGTCCTGGAGGCCTGGGTAGGGGTGGAGCGTCCTGGGTGTCTGTAGGGTGCAGAGTCCTGGGTGCTCATGCAGGAGTGTAGTGTCCTGGATCCCTGGGGAGGGTACAGAGTTCTGGCTGTTCTGTACAGGTGGCTTCTCTGGATGGTCCATCTGTAGTGTCTTAGAGGATGTCACAGAACTTGGAAGAACTGTGCCTCAGTCCCACCTTTTATCTGACACTGCAGTCTTGGGTGGAAAAGCCCTGGCTGCCTTTCCCCCAGGTTAGAGAAAGTGTATTTTTGGTAGTAGCCACTCTGTAGGTTTATATGGACACTTTATACTAAGGAGGCTACATTTTCTTATTGTCTTGCCCCCACAGGCTAATGTCACAAATAGAAAGGTGACTGATCACTCATTCCTTTGTACACTTTTGTAAAAAACCCTCCCAGACATTGTTCAAACCCTTTCTTTGAGGTGCTTGGAGGGGTGGCTGGATTCTCCAAGGGGCCTCATGTGGGAAGCACTCAGTATGTGTTGCTTGTGGGATGCCACCAGGACTTCTCTGGAAGGAGGACCAGGAGGTTTCTATGTAGAGACGAATCAGCTGAGGGCCTTTGTGGATGGCAGCAGGGGACTGTCTTCCACCATATCTTTTGTGAGAGCTGGGAAGGAGAAGCCAGGTCAGCTGGGAAAGAGCTGTCTTGTGTTGGAGGGGGTTTGAGCCCTCCTCCAAGGCTCTCAAAGCAGCAGGTAGAGAATTAGAGTCTGTGCTAACATGGGGGGTCTGGTCTGGGAGACTTGTCTGACCCTCTCTTACTTGGGCCCGTGGTGCTGGCAAGGAAGAAGCAGGGCCAACCGGAGGCCTGTTTTTCTGGTGGGATGCATTAATACGTGAAAGCCGCTTTGGGAAAAGCAGTGAGTGTGGTATGAGCATGACTTTGTGCGCTTGTGTCTGTGCATGTGTGTGGGCACATGCTCCTGGGGGCATGCACATGGTTGTGTGTTTGTGTGTGCATGTGTGTGGGTGTGTAGGGGGCACGCAGCCAGCTCTAACTTGAGGAGCAGAGGCATTCTGTTATAAATAAGGCTGGTTTTTATATTCCCATTTGACCAGGGAGTGCAACCAGTAGACCAAAGGTAATGCATTTCAGCCACCCGTCGGGGAAGGTAAATGTGGTTTATTAGCCCCACTGGCTCAGAGGGGGCTGGGCGGTGGTAGCAGCTGAAGCAAGGTGGCTCCAGATGGAGGGAGGGGACAGGTTGGTGATTGTGTGCCCTGCTTTCTCTAAAGGAAAAAAAATGGATGTTCCGCCTGTTAGCTAATCAGCAGTGAGGAGAAAGTCCTGACAACAAGTAAAGAAAACTTAGCTGGCAATAAAGTAAGGGGCTGTTTATGGTGGTTTTTATGGGAACATTTTCACTTTGGGAGTTATTAGAGTTAGTGCAGGTTGTGACAAAAGCTGCATTTGCATATCGCGGTGATGAAGTCTAGATGGAGCCTGAATGCGGCATTAACTGCATATCAGAGACCCTTTCCGAAGCCAAACAGGATGACATTTATTGCAAGCTCGATGCCGCGTGGCTGGCATTAGTTACTGCTTGTTGTGTCCTGTGGAATCTAGATTTTCTGTCTCGGGATCTGGGACTGGTCGTGGCAGCTTCCTAGGTCAAGAGCAAGCTGGCGCTTTGGGAGTGTGGGGGAGCTGGGGGGCAGGGAGGGGACACCCTCGGGAGTGGGGAAGGGGTTAGTCTTCATGGGGCTGCGCGTTGGCCAGGTACCTGTCACAGGCTGACCGAGACACACCAGGACAAACAGGAATTTCTCCCACTTTTTAAATTTTTAAAATGATGATATAATTCACATATCACTCATTTTAAGTATACAATTCCATGGCTTTTAGTGTATTCATGGAAATGTGCAACCATTGCCCCAGTCTATTTAGGACATTTGCATCACCCCAAGAGAAAACCTCACTCCTTAGCCATCACCCCACCCCCCTCATCCTTCCTAGCCCTAAACAGCCATACATCTACCTCTGTCTCTATTGACTGGCCACCTCTGGCCATTTCATATACATGGAACCATACAGTATTTGTCCTTTTGTCTCTGGCTTCTTTCCCTCAGCAGAATGTTTTCCAGGTTCGTTCATGCCAAGCATGTGCCAGAACTTCATTCCTTTTTATGGCCAAGTAATATTCCACTGAACAGATACATTCTATTTATGTATTCACCAGCTGATTTTCCCCAAACACTTTTGAAACGTTTTTTTTATTATAAAAGATACTCATGAAAAAATTCATGGTTGAGGTTGGGCACAGTGGCTCATACCTGTAATCCCAGCGCTTGGAGAGGCTGAGGCAGGTGGATCACCTAAGGTCAGGAGTTTGAGACCAGCCTGACCAATATGGTGAAACCCCATCTCTATTAAAAATGCAGTAAGTAGTGAGGCGTGGTGGTGTGCGCCTGTAGTCCCAGCTACTCGGGAGGCTGAGACAGGAGAATTGCTTGAACCCGGGAAGTGGAGGTTGCAGTGAGCCGAGACCACATCACAGCAATCCAGTCTGGGCAACAGAGATAGACTCCATCTCAAAAAAAAAAAAAAAAAAATCATGGTTGAGCCCATTGGAACTCACCTGAAGTTTTTCAGAAAATGGAGTTCTGGATTGTGGGAGACACAGGGATTTGATGAATTATGTTTCCTCTTGAAAACACAGACCCTATGCTTTGCACCTCCTAGCCCCCCACCTGTGAATGTGGCCTGAGGGCTGACTCCAGGATTGCAGCTGGGGTCCTGGGAGGGTTTTGCTGCTTGCCATTCAGAGGGTGTTCTCTATCTCAGGAGACCTTCAGCCTCCAGGTTTGAGGGTTCCTAGGGGATGTCAGTGTGGTTGAGGGCTCTAGGGCAGCTTGGACTGGTGGCTGCATGTTTCTGCCTGGCACCCGCTCCCCCTCATGAGCTCTGGCTGTGCTATGTGGTTCGGCCAGCATTTGGAAGGTCTGGGCTGAGGCTGCTCAGGAGAGGAAGCAATTGTGCATTTCATAGATGGTGAC